CTACAGCGCACGTACTTTCTCCATTATAGGGATTCTTAATCTAAGATCCAGGGACTCCATGAAATGGAACAATATGTCCAAAACTACATTATTCAGGGGAATGTCTTTGGCCTTGGACAGCTTCTCAAAGGCACATGTAACCTAAATAAGGTTAACACAATCCACTTTTAAATCCAGAAACACACACACACACACACACATGCACACACACACGCACACACACACACAAAACAAAAACAAAAACAAAAACAAAACAATCAAAGCCAAAGGAGACCCTATAGTTAAGATTCAGGAATTAGTAAGACTGCCTATCTTATACGACCTTCATGACGACCACTTGACTGCTAACAACAGAACCAAGACTATTTATTTATCTAATAGGAAAAGTAGAAGTTTCTATTACTTACCATCGTAGCCTCCTAACACAAGCCATGGGAACACTGGCCCACCAAACGTACCCAGACAAGGATCATGGAGCAAACTTGTATCATTCAGAGAGGCAGGAGCCCTGACAAAAAGCATAGAAAGCATCTCCCAGTTAGAACAAGACTAAAGACAGCACAGAAACCTAAATATTTATATACCAAACATTTAATGAGGCTGAGTATATTCTAAGCACAATGTGGGCCCTGAGGATCTGCAGATGAATAATACAGTTCAGCACTTGCCTTTGGGAACTCAGAAGCACTGGGTAAGAGGCATGCAAACATAGCCCAATGCACCCAACAGAACACATACACGGTGCTGTGCAGACACAGAGGGAACAAACAGACCAGCGGGAAACTGTTGCCAAAAGGAAGAGACCTATATACAACAGAAGGGGGAATTCACCAGGAGGGGAGGAAAAGAGGGTGCTCCATATAATTAATATTGTAAGACAGGGAAGGGAGGGTGGGGAGAGAATGCCTGAGGGGATGAGAGCAAGAGGATGGCAGTTGGGGGACTGACACAAAGTCCTGTCCTAGAGCCTGAAGTGCTCATGAAGGGGGTGTTCCTAAGGGAGAAGGCAAGGCTGGAAGAGATGAGAAACAGTGAAAAAAAGGATTCAGTGTCACGTTAAGTCATCTGGATTTTTATCCTGTAGGCACTAGGGAACAGTCAGTGATTGCTGGGAAAAGGAATGTCACAAGCTGTTCTGCAAATAACCAGGAGGCCAAGTAGAAGGTCTGGAAGAGAGAAAGAAACAGGAAGCAGAAAGACTAGTCAGTCAAGTTTGTGTTATAGCCCTAGGAGGAGGAAACCACAGTGCACTGGAGAATAGGTGGTCGAAGGAAAGAGAAGCAGCACTTCAGGATGGGCCATCCACCAATCACAACTCAGCTGGGCACTTAGAAGGTTCTCCCACATGATCTGCCCCTCATGGCAGTAGGCCTCGGAGGTCAGGTGATCTGCCACAAGCACAGAATCTCTTCATCCCACAGCCTAATGTAGCCTTGACATCATGGATCTGAGATTCCACCCAGAGGTTAAAACCCACAAGAATTATAAGAGAAAGGTGAGAATGAGGAAGGGTTCAGGAACACTGTATGATGTTCAAGTAACTGGTGGTGTCATAGCCATGAAATATCTAGGGGGAAAGCAGCAGGTCTACGCTTGGTTCTGGCAGGCTGAGCCTGTAAGACTTCCAGGTGAAAATATCCAGGAAAGCTGGAGATGAGGAAAGAAGTGAGAGCTAAAGAGGGTCAAAGAGGATATGTACAATGGAATGAGAAACCAAATCCAAATCCCTGCACCCAAGAGAGCTGTTCATAGCAGGGATCTCACCCCACTGCAAACCACGCCCCTTCGGACAAGTGACAAGTCTCACATACTGCACCCCACAGATTTTTGACTTAAAAAAGATTATTTAATTCTTGTCAGAGGGTGCACAGGCTCACCAGACAGAGACAATGAGAAAGAGGAGAAAGCACCACCCCCTTGGCTGTGGTCATGCTGCAATCTCTTCTCCCCTTTTCCAGTCTGTCAGGATTTGGGGCACGCACACACCCAGCGTGTTTTTCAAGTTGCCATGGCCAGAATTCAGAGTTAGCCATGTTAGATTGTGCTTTCTTAACCTAAGCTACAGGTTTGGGGAGGGGAGCTTTTATTGACTTTGATTTTGTAAAATAATAGAAAGTAAGTTGTATTTTTCTCCAAATATAAAAAAAAATATTAAAATTTTTTTTTTCAAAGTATACATGGCTCCCTCATACCACTACCAAGAACAGTTTTAGGGTATACATTATTTTTTATGAGTGTGTTTTTAGAGGTGATTTCTTTGAAATAGACTCTTTGACCTAACTGCCTAAAGAGTAACATTCCAGTAAGACAGATAGAACTTGAGAGTCACCAACGTTCCCTAGAGCTAAAAGAGAAATCACTCAGCTCATAAGACACAGTCAGCTGAGCTCACTCAAAAGACAGGAATACTTCTCTGTTCCCATGATGAAAAGAGGCACTGTGGATGCTCAACCACCTGAATAGCTGTCCACAGGCCAGGTCCAGAGCACTTAGGGATGGCAGGTCTGTCAGCACTGTGTCACTCTTCCTAAAGATATCTTCACAGGGCAAATCTAAAGATATCCTCACCGGTCACCCAAGCACAGCATCCTCCCTTGGTGACTAATCCCAATTACACAGATGCACTTCCTAAGAGAAGCAGCTTCAGGGCCTTCCAATCCACTGACTTGTTGGAAAAGTCACTGATGTATTTTTTCTATGCAAAAATGTGTTATGACTTTTCTGACGACCCAATGTAAGTGCATGCCAATCCTGTCCTGGCTCCTTGACAGGGAGGCTACATATTAAAACAATTAGTTATCATGACATGAAGGATATATTTGAAAGATGAGAAACAAGCACAATAATCTATCTTTAAATATCTTGGGGAGAGTAGGGGGTTGTATGCGAGTGTTACTGATCCAGGCTTGATGTGTTAAAGGTTGAGTACCTGCTGTTACTGGATTATACACCATGAAAGCTCCCAGTTGGCATCTGCTGCTTGCTCCGCTTAACACTTTCCCGTGATAACCACAGGCTCCCTTTCCTTGGCCTCTGTGTAAGCCTCCATTCTGAAGCAGTACACCCGTCCCTTTGCCTGAACTTATTTTTCCCCTCATAGCTCTCATTTCTACCTGACATGACAATATGTATCATGTTGTTGGAAAAGTCATGATGCACTTTGCATAGAAAACCACAGAACAATGGGACCAGTAGTTGGCATAATGGCTATCTCGCTGGACTCCCATGTAGTCGACCGCGGTTCGAGTCCTGGACCCTGTGGCTTAAACTCACGCCAGGCATGTGTGTGTGCGTGTCCAAGTTCCCAAGAGAATGGAGAAGGGATTGCGGCGTGGCCATACCCCCTGGGGGAGATTTCTTGCTTTCTGTCTCTCTGTCTTACTGGTGCACACACACACCCTATAGCAAAAACCTCTTAAAAAAAAAAAAAAGGAGAAAACCACAGAAAAATACATTATGATTTTTCCGATGACTCAGTATTATTTTGTTCATTTTCTGCTTGCCTTTAGTAGGATGTAAGGTTTGCAGGGCAGGGTCTTGCTCTATGTGCTCACCACTGGACCTCTAGTGACTTGAACGGTGTCTAGCAATATAACAAGTGCTCAAATATTGGTGGGACGCAGAAGCGGTTTCTGCCACTTACCGTACACAGTACAGAAAGTGCGTGTGGTAATCGGCATACACAAAAAAGTCATCCCCTATCTTGTGGTCCAACATGGAGTGGCTGTTCTGGAAGTAATTTAATACACTCATAATGGTACAGTTCTTGTTATAGGGTGAGAGAGGGGCCAAGCAGATGTCTTGGAGTGTCACAGTCTCATTGTTATACGATGCAGTAATGTTTTCGATGGCTGTTTGCAAGTCAAGAACCTGAAAGAAGATTTAAAAAATAAGCAGACAGAAACACATCATATTTTTCTCAGATCTTGACTAGGGAGTCAAAAAGAGTATTTGGGGAACCAGCAGTTAGCGTAATGGCTATGTCGCTGGATTCCCATGTGGTCGACCGTGGTTCGCCTCCTGGACCCAGTGGCTTAAAACTCACGCCGGGCACGTGTGCGTGCGTGCCCAAGATCCCAAGAGGAGAATGGAGGAGAAGGGATTGCAGCGTGACCATCCCCTCAGGGGGGTGATTTCTCACTTTCTGTCTCTATGTCTCTGTCTGTCTGGCGAGAGCACACGCCCTATAGCAAAAAACTCTCCAAAAAAAAAAAAAGATAAGAGTATTTGGTAAGGAGCCCTAAGGAGTCAAAAGATAAAGAGTATTTGGGTAAATAAATACTTCCTCATATGGAGGAGAGGATTAAGGTATATTATGATAAAATATCTGATGAAGCCAAAGGCTCACTCTTGCAGCGAATTGACTGGAGGCCCTGGTTAGACGCATTCAGAGAGTTGAGGAAGGGACACCATGACCAGAATCTCAGTGTAGGACACATAACCATCTCCCCCTATCCTGAACCCCTTTCCCATCAATGACCAAGGAGGCCCCAGAGAGGAGACTGGAGCAAGATGCCTGGGTTTCTGACACTCCTCTTCACCAACAAGACATCCCTACTGTCTCGTTCCATACTACAGCCATTTGTGCACATTCCCGTATTTCCTAATAGAGTACGCTCCTGGAGGTAAATGACTAACTATGCTGTACACTTCCAACAAGCTGGGAAAAACTAACCATTATCAGGTGAAGAAAAGTTGCTATTAAAGTCTTGGGACTATTGTGATGTTTTTCAAGACTTCAGACATTTGGTAGACAAGGGCAACGCTGTGCAAGCATTCATTAGAATGGAAGTGGACATAGCTAATTCTTATGTACAGTTCTCTAGGGCGAGTTTGAAAGGAGAGAGCAGGAAAATTTAAACACACTTTATAAGAGAAAAAGGATAGATCTTGTCCCAAAAGCATATCGCACCAAATGCGGGCTGGGAGCCCACCTTTAGGTGGTAAGTTCATTCCCGCAAGCTGGTTCAGTAATGCCATAGTGCGGGCGCCACCACGTCTGCTAGGTCAGTAATCATCTCAGCAGCTGCTTCCTTAGCCCCTAAAACAGCATAAAAGGCTGTATTCCTTTAGGTCCCTACTTTAGTTACCAAGGAAAAAATCCACACATTCCCAAGATGTAGTCCTCATAAGTACATTCTGCTTCCACAGAGAAATGTGACTTAAGACTTTCTCTGTTTTTCTCAGTTTCAAGAAAAAGGTAAGACCTATAGTCTGAAGTAGGCAACAGTATATTTTTCATTATCTCAACACCTATCACTCACTTTCTTGAAAAATGTTAAAGCATCTTTTCTTTTTAAACTGCAATTCTTTTTATTAACAGCAATTTCCCCCTGAAATTATTCATTTATTGAGAGAGACAGAAAGAGGCGGGCAGGCACTCCCAAAAGGGCCTTCACACCACCCTTCACCCCTAGCCTCACTCAGACCAGATCATGAGCACAGGCACACATATCAGTGTGTACAGGAAGTCGTACGATGTGAAGTGGGGACCTTCTCACATGGGCCCAGCACTGTAACTGCTGCACCACTGTTTGGTCTCCATCGCTGCTTTTACACTTTAAGGCTGCCATGTGTACCACTACATTCAGCCCTAAATCAAGTAGAAGTGTGAAAGCCAGCAAACCATCAGTCCTCCAGATTTCTTTCTTTCCTTTTTTCTCCCCTATTGCTAAAGGGCATGTGTGCCTGAGAGAGAGGAGACAAAGAGAGAGAAACCCTAAGCAGGGCATGGCTATACCACAATCCTCCCTCCTCCATCTCTCCAACCTATCAGGATCCTGGGTACACATGCACATGCACCTAGTACATTTTTCAAGTGCTAGGGCCAGCATCTGGACCATGGTTAGCCATGTGGGATCCAACTTTCTCTACACAACACTTAAATCACTGTGCTACGGGACCAGCCTAGACAGATTCGTTTCTATGAACAGTAGATTACCTGGTGCAAAATCTCAAGGTCAAGTGGAGGTCCAAAGGGCACATCAGCTCCTGAGGGGTAGGGCTTGTAAGTGTGTCTGTCGGTGTGGGGAGCCTGAATGATGAGCTGCTCCGTCCGGAAGAAAGGCCCAAAGTGTGCATCAAAGTACTCTTTCTCTAGGCGAGCCTGGCTGTTGGGGGCTGACCAGAGATCAACTGGATTGGTTGTAACCCGGACAAACACCAGGCCTGAAGAACACGCAGCAATGAAGACCAGCGAGAAGAAAATGATACTGCCAGGGTTTCGGACGCAGAAAGATCCCCACTGTGTGAACAGTCGCTTCAAACAGCCCTCAAATGCTGCGCCAAGTGGATCGCAGCAGGATGCCTCCCCTGGAAGAGTGGGAGAGGAAGGGAGGGTGGAGGTTAAGAGCCAAGCCATTCCTGAAAGTCGGAACAGGGAAAGCATTAGGTACACCTGCACGTGGCAGGAATGGAGTCCACCTGGAGATACACCAGTTTCCCACCCACCCACCCCCAGCTATACACCTACCCTGCAAAGTCATCCTTCTAGGCTGCCACAGTGAACACTATCTGCTCCCCACACACATGCACCACAGAGGGAAGACACTCATACAGAAGCCTCTGAAAAGTGAGGTTCTCTGACAGCTCTGTTGGAGTAGTTCTCCTTGACCCTGCTCTGCGACTTGTGCTCTCAGTCTGAAATGTTGGTGCCTTCACAGCTCCTAAGCTGGTCTGTAATTACTTTGCAGCTATTATTACTTGTTTCTGATCTGCCACCCTGCCTAGACAGTAGTGCCACATAAGCAAGGTCTTTGTATTTTTTTTTTTTAAGACAAGGTCTTGGCATGTCAGGAACATCCTGTCTTAGCCTCTCTAATTACTGGGATTACAGGTGCATGTTGCTGTGCCCAGCCTTTGGGATGGAATCAAACTCAGGCATCCCATATGATCCCAGCCAGCGGAGCACAGCATCTCAGCAGGGTGCCACTGCAGCAGGCCCACATCTGTCTTGATCACAGCCATACCCTTGACACTAGCACAGTGCCTCACCCAGAGCAGACAAACAGTTTGTTAAGGAAGGGAATCCTCTCATGCCACCACAAGTCCTTTTACTTATGTACAAATATGCCTACCTTTGTCACTGGCATTAACAGAATAAGCTATATTGCTATCAATTGGCGTATACTCAGAGACAAAATAGCGTTTTCTGAAAAACAAAAGCATAAAAGTAGTATTAGTGGATCATCCCAATGTAGGTGTTACTTTAACACTCCGGTCAGCCCATTAAGTGCTTGTATCTCACCCTGTTTTCTTCCTCCCTACTTGCTGCCTACTTTCCCTTAAGTTCCTCTGCTCCAGGCCCCTTTGCTCACTAGTCTCAAGAGAAAATTTATATAAATGTTACACAAATTAATAAGGAAGAATTTTATCTTGTAGCCTTCATTGTATTTAAAACATTTATATTTAAAAACACACTTTTCCAGACTAGCTGCAAGCTATCTAGTGTTCCGATCTTGGTTTCTAAATAACATTCTCTAAGGAAAGGAAATAAGGTCCTTGGGTGGCTGAAGTCAGGGCTGGAGCAGGAAAAATATAAGATGAGCCTGGAGCATCTTGTGATACCAGAGAAGAAGGCCAGGCTTCAGAAAGGCAAACATCGAAAGGACATAGGAGCCAAGCGTAAAGCATCCACAGTGGCCATAATTGGAAAAATCTGAGTGATAAAATTAATGGCAGGATTAAATACAGCCTACAGAGTAAAAAGCCCATGATGTAAATAACTGAATAAGTAAGTGAGGGAGAAGGGACAGTTCTCTGAACGGAAATACAATTAATAAATATAAAAGAAATGAGGAAAATACAGAATTACCATTAGGCAAACACCACAGTAATTAACTATTGCTGATAATCTCCAGTAATAATGCTAAAACAATGGGTTAGGGGCCGGCAGGTGGTGTGGTGGTTAGAGGAGCTGGACTCCCACATGGCTGACAACAGTTCAAGTCCTGGACTGGGTGGCTTGCTATCTCACTCACTCACTCCCTCTTTCTCTCACTCTCTCTCTGGTCAAACTGAAAAATAATGATAATAAATAAATAAACTCTTAAAAAAAAAAAAAAGAAAACCAATGGATTAACTGTTTGAAGAGAAATAAAGTATTAACAGTCTCAGACCACCTCTCCCAAGATATTTATCAATTATAAGAAAAGCAGTAATTTCACAGTGGAGAAATTCAGCAGATTTCACATCACCTTAATCAACTGATCAGGTTAATATCACCAGCCGAAGATGTGACATCAGGTAACCCTGACATGAGGCTCTGAAAAAGACACATCACTTCTGTGATGTCCTTGCCAAAAATACATAGCCTCAATCTAATTTGGGGAAAATATCAGATAAAGCCAAATCAAGGGACATGATACAAAATAATTGACTAGGACTCTCATTCTGAGTGACAAGGCCACAAAATGAAGAGACAGCCTGAGGAACTGTCTACTACAGATTGGCGACTACTAAAACACAGAGAATGAATGAAATATGAAACAGAAAAGGGGTGTGAGAAGAAAACTGGTGAAATCTGAATAAAGTCTGTGTTTAGGTAATAACAGTATACCAATGTTATTTTCATGATTTTGATCATCACACTGTGGTTCTAACACTAGGGAAAGCTGGGTCGAATAATACATACAAACTCATTCTGCAACTTTTTGGTAAGTCTGAAATTATTTCAAAAGAAGTTAAAAAAAGGTACTGTTCTACATCAAGATCCACATCTCTCAAAGGATTGTAGCACTACATTTAATTAAACGAACCAGATTTGTCTCAGAGGCCTTTTTAAGAATGAGTAGCTAAGGCTCAGTGCTTTAATCACATGTTATTTTTAATAAAGCAATAAAGTTAACTCCCCATGTTTAAAAAAAAACAGGACTTAGTTTGCTAGCTGTAGGAACTAAGAGCTAAGGCTCAGTGCTTTAATCACATGTTATTTTTAATAAAGCAATAAAGTTAACTCCCCATGTTTAAATGTCTAGTTTGCTAGCTGTTGGAACTAAGCCATCTATGGAATGGTATTAATGCAGGTATTTGTTTCCTGTTCTAATTAACCAAGGTCTAAGAGGTCTAAGATGTGAAAGATGAAGGTGCCTTTTAGGGGCCAAAGGGTAACATAACACAACACTCTGAGAGGCACCCCACACGGGCAGATTCCTGGTTCCTGAAGCTCTCCCTGAGCACACCAGAACTTGCTGGCCCAGGATCCAGGGCATGCAGAAGGGGAGGGGTAGATCACTGCACTGAGACCCTGTTGAAGGTGCTGTCTCTCTCTCGCTCATGAAGAAACAAACTTTAAAAGTGCCTCTTGGGTAATTTTGTTCTTCGTGTCCTGGAGAACAAACAAAACTGCTTACCTGTAGCACCACACTGCAAAAAATGCTCCAAAAAACACAAGCAAAAATGCCATGTAGGTGATCCACATGACGACATACATGGCATCTAAACCGAAGATCCTCCAGGGAACAGGAGGGGGTGGGGGCTGGGGCTTGGGGCCGCACATGACAGAGCAGTCCTGGCAGCTGCATGGCCCTGTGACTTCATCCACAGACTCGCTGCAGGCTTTGGTGGCATTGTTCATTGGCTCCATCCCATGGACTGGAAGATCTGCAGGAAGGAACTGTGTTGAGTGAAGATCTCAATGAAAAATTTGAATAATTTTATATTAATAATTATATTTAAACCTAAAGATAAGCACACTGAAATGTGCAACACAACTGAACGAATAAAAAGAATGGGGGGTGGCATGGTAGTTGAGGTGATAAGATCCCACACGGCCAACAGCATGGTTTGAGTCCTGAACCCGGCAGCTTGAAAAACACATCAGGCAAGTGTGTGTGTGTGTACCCAAAATCCTGAGAGGAGATGGAGGAGGTGGGACGGCAGTGTGGCCATTCCTTCTGGAGGGGGTTCTTTTCACTTGCTCTCTCTCTGTCTCTCTCTGGTGAGTGCAAATGCCCTATAGCAAATTAAATAATAATAATGAATAAAAAGAATTGGGGATTTTTGTTTAGTTGAATTCTGTTTTTAAGTTACCTCAATAATTTTGTGTATACAGTTTTGTCACTGATATCCAAATATACCACATATTAAGTTAGACTTTTTCTTTTTTCTTTCTTTTTAAAATTTGCTAGAGGGTATATGTGTGTGCTGAGTGGGGAATAGGGGAGAGAGAGGGAGGCAGGGAGAGAGAGAGGGAGGTAAGGAGAGAGGAAAGGAGGGAGAGGGAGGGAGAGAAGGAAAGAGAGAGAAAGCACTCACCAAGGGGTATGGTCACTCTGCAATCCTTCCTCCTCCATTTTCTCTTTCAGGATTTTGGCCATGCACACACATGTGCCCTGCATGTTTTTCAAGCTATCGGGTCCAGGATTTGAACAGCATGGTGGGCCACTTTAACCAGCATGCCACTGGCTGGTCCTCAAGGTAACCTTTCAATTGTGTCTTAGCTCCATTCTGAGGATTTAAGCTAAAACTATAACAGAACTCCATAGTTTTTGTAACATTTCTGAGTTTTTTTTTTTTTTTTTCTTTTTAAAAATCCAGTCTGTTCTTTCAATTACGTAGCAATACCTATAGGTAATTCTTTATCCTCTTCCATTTCTGCCCTCTTAAGTTACCTAGGGCAGGATAAATGCTCTAGTTACCACTCTCAATGGAGATAAACTTTAGGAACTAGTTATCTGGATATTTATCTTATTGCAAATTATGATTCTTAGGCCTTAAAAAATTGCAAATACAGCAAACTTGGGGAGTCTTCATACCTACCTGAAAAAATGGGAGTGATGGTAAATGGTGCCTGTCCATTGTCCTTACTGAACATGTACTCAATCCAGTTGGTGGCGTTGCAGGCATCAGCATCCTTCCCACACAGGAATCCCAGGGCCTTGTCATTACTTGAAGGGGCTTCCACATCACGGCAGGCATTGTACATTGCTAGAAGGGGAATTCCAAGGAAAAAAGATAGAGACACAAAGATGCTTAAATTCTCCAGGCAAGATCTTACAAAGAGCCTTCGAATGGAAACATGGAACTCTGTAAGGCACGAAAACCCCATGAGGAAGCTGGCTGGCATACAGGACAGTGAATATTAGGGTCAGAAAGAGAGTTAACCCTTTAAACTAGCTGATCACCCTGGAAACAATGTGACAGACAGGATTCCAACCAACCTAAAAGTAAAACAATAGAAAGGAAAGGGGAAGGCTTTTGTACCACATGTCATTCTCCCAATAACATACAGAAGTTGCATCCTCACTATACAGAGGGGCATAGTAAGGTACAGAAAGTAAAAGCTAAGAACCTTAGTGTTTTTCGTTTTTGTTTTTTTTGCTATGGGGCGTGCATGCTCGCCAGAAAGACAGAGAGACAGAAAGCGAGAAATCACCACCCCCCCGGGGGGCGGGGATGACCATGCTGCAATCCCTTCAGTCTCCTCTTGGGATCTTGGGCATGCACGCACATGCGCCCAGCATGAGTTTAAGCTACCAGGTCCAGGACTCGGACCGCGGTCGACTACGTGGGAGTCCAGTGACAGCCATTACCCCAACTGCTAGTTCTCCTTAGTGCCTCTTTAGTCAACAATGTTGGTTCCAGAAAACCTCTGCAGCAGGAGGCTATTCAGCTGGAGAATTATGGAACTCGCAGGCTAAATTGGTTTGAGAGCAGAAGTCACATAAATGACCCCAATACGGATTGACCATCCCTTATCTGAAATGCTCGGGATCAAGTGTTTTGGATTTTGAAACACTGGCATATACATAATATCTTGGGGATGAGAATCATATTTAAACACAATCATGTATATACCTTATATGAAAGCCTGAAGAGAATTTTATTTAATTTTATTATATTGTAGCATTTTGTTTGTGACCTATCACATGGAGTCAGGTATAGATTTTTCCACTTATTTCATGTGGGGACTCAAAAGGTTTTGGATTTTGGAGCAATTCAGATGATCGGATTAGGAATGCTCAACCTGTACTATTCTCTTTTGGGTTTTAGTTTAGTACCATAAACATAGAATACCACACAGTATAACAGCAATGACATTTTGCACATACAAATGTAGTAGAAATAGTACAGTATGGTTTATTTTAATTTACCAATCCCTGATTGCTAGAACATTCCCAGAAACTTCTTCCTCCTAAACGTAAGAAACACATTAATTTTGTTTTGCCCTCACAGTCTGTCCACATTTTTGATAAACATGTTAGGGACAGTGATAGTTACCTCCCTCAGAACTGTGAATGTATTATTCCATGCCTCTGGCCTCTAACATGGCTGGTAAGAAAACTTCCAATTGCTACTCTTTTGAAGTGATTCGTGTCATTTCTGTACTTTCTTTTAAAATATTTATCTCTGGAGTTCTAAAGTTTTTCTAAGTTACAGTTAAGATGACCGTTTTTATTTAAAAAAGCTTAATTAAGGTATAATTCACATCACACAACTCACTCACACAACTTAATGGATTTTAGCATACTCATAAATATGTGCTACCATCTTCATAGTCCATTTTCAAAATTTTCATCAAAAAGAAATCCCACACTCTTGAGCTCTCCTGTCTCCTCACTAATCAGTCTGTGTAGCTCTGCATATTTAAACATTTCCTATCAATGGAATCATATAACATAGTTTTTTGTGACTGACTTCTTTCACTTAGCATGTTTTCAAGGTTCTTGCAGGTTGTGACACGTATCAGTACCCTATTTCTTTTTTTTTTTTTTATTATTATTATAAATTTTTTTTTCTTTTCTCATCACAACACACATATGAATTTTCCATCCAAAATACACTGTGCATTGGCTCAATCAAGCACATCAACATATATGTTCTCAGCAAATGATTTCCCAATTTTTGTGTCCTGCATACCTTGCCTTTTGTTTTGCCATCCTAGGTTCCCCATCCCCACCCTCTGCCATGTCCCATCTTCCTCCTCCATTGTCCCTGACATTCATGATTGCCCTCAATGGCTTCCCCCCCCCCCCATTCAATTGTTCTACCAATGAACTCAATTTGTCTAAATATATCCACTAGCTAGCACAGCTGACATATCCTTACAC